GATCCGTGGCACAAGGACTGTTACAGATGAACCTGCATACTGGGTTTTGCCTGGTAATATGACCAAGATACAGCCAGTGGTTGGCCATAAGATAGACTTCTCCTCTTCAGCTGCCCCAAAAAAGGCTCTTGATCAAAACATAAACACACCATCCGTAGTGACAGGTAAAAGAAGTTCCACCTGCTACCGTGGAGGAGTTGTCTGAACTGATGGGAAAATATTTCTCCAAGCATAGTTCTGTTCTGAATAACCCATCATGTTGTATTTAGGGGGTCTACATTTATGCCTGAAGTGCACTGCCATGTAAATAACTTGCATTTACTGAACATGTTCTTACTAAGTACCTCTGTTCAAAAGTTGAATAAAGAAACAAACTAATGTTTGCCTCTTTTATTTTAAATTAAAACCACTTTGTAGAACATCACATCAGTAGAATCAATGTCATGTATAGTTTACAAATGACAAAATGTTTACATAAAATCATGACAGCATTTAAATAATATCACCCACTACTAGCATTCTGTAATTTACTGTCTCTTTTGAAAACTTATCACTACATAAACAGCACAAGACTTTTAAGAGTATTTAAGAGCATTTTCCCTGGTTTTACTAACAAACCTTCACCATCTTATCCAGGAGGGTCAGCTCTTCACCCACACATGGAAGAAGTTATCTGATTGGCAGGGTGGTGTGTAGCCAGGCCGTTCTCACTCCGTGTTGATGCAGCATGTAGTTTGAAGCAGGGATTTCGTAGTGCCCCATGTGTAGCGTTGGAACCCAGTCAGGATGTGTTTCATTCATTCCTTCGGCTGGTTTGCCTGCATAATGAAAAAAAATTAGCAACTCTATAAATAGAACGTAAATCTACAAAATCACTCATTAGGATGTTTGTTCTAATTTGCTATGACCTCAGAGCGCATTGAAAATAAAACTAATAGGCTAGAAAGAGTGATATGAAATGATGTAGAACTTACCCGAATGAAAATGTCTGGAGCACCAACAGATATCTGTGGATGGTAGAGAACTGGATAGCAGCTTGTCTCACAGCTGCTATCCAGGCTAGACGCCTTCTTTTGGTAACGTCTGATACATGAGCTCCCTCACATTGCTTCCAGGTGGGGAAAGAATAAAAATAAAACCCATTTTCCAGCTTATTCCCTTCCCGATCGTGCGATCTAACATTACAACTGACAACACAGCAAGGATGAACCATTACTCATGCTTTCGCTCCTTTTGCCCTTTGTTTGGCCTACTAAAATGGCGCCTCGGCAGCCTCTATGACGTCACCGAGATCCCAAATGAGACTGTGTGATAAACACAGTGTTTGGCTTGGTCTGCAGCCTCCTCAGGAACAGGACACACGTGATCAGCTGAACTTTCCCCCACAGTTGCTGTCAGAGGGATAACCTGGATTTCTCATCAGTCTTCGCTGTCTCTGGTTCTAAGGACGCTGCCCTTAAAGCATTTATCCAGCTAGGCTTTATTAGTGTACACCACGGCTGGTTGTCACGTTGTTTGTTACTGCTACACGGGAGGGCGCTGTGGAGCTCCTCTGGTATCACACGTTTCACCTGACAGTGTGGTCAGTTTGTGGACATCCACAGAACTCTTAGGGGAGGACGTATTTTGTGATGGGTCTTTGGTAGGTAACAGTTATTTTTCATCATGATCTTGTGTTTATATTGGAAGCTCTCACAGTGTTGGTCGTTATGTTCCCTCTAAGCTGCGCGCGTGTGCAATTGCGCACTGCTGGCACGGTCTCTGCACACAGAAAAAAAAAATCAAACCTGAATTGAAATTAAAATTAAAACTTTAACAATTCTGATTTGCAGTGTTAGTCAGTAAGTGACTGGCTGCTCCCATATGGGATTAGAACGATGCCACCTTATCCGATAGTCCAGCCAATAATGCGATTCAATCAACATTGTTGACAGGCTATGACAGCATCCTTATGTGCCCACACCGGTGTTTTAGCTAGAAAAGCAGTGTGGCTGATGTGGAGAGAAACCGCCTTAATGACAACGTGGACAACCATTGGAGATGTGAGCAGGACAGACGGAACAATTGACGGAAAAAGTGTGGACTTTATACCAGTTTTTAAATTGTGTTGATAGGCCACGAAAACCAGAGTTATGATAAAAATATTTGCAATGTTTGGTTTTCTTCCTGAGCACTATCCTTGTTTATAAAACGGTAAAAACTGCATTTTATAAGGAAAACGCTGGAAAGCCCTCAGCCTGTGAGGAAAGATGAAACCAAAAGAAACCCACCCTTTCCTATTGGTGGAAAAATGTACCATGTCAACCAATCAAAGAATGAGATGGCAACATGGCATTTAGTTGTTTAGGGAGGGGGGAAGTTTTAGGAGTGACAGCAGTGTTTTGAGATGTGTGAGATTTGCTACGTTTAGCGCAAATGTGTAGTTAGTGTGTAGTGTAGTCAATAGTTTTGTTGTGTGTGTCAGAACAATGAGGCGACTACTGAATGTTACAGGTGTTACAGCAGTGATACATCTCCTGTTGTCAGGCCTGCAGGTATCAGGCTGTTGTTCTCCTTTATCTCATAGTGAACAGAAATTATTTTTTGGAGTGGCACAAATAATTTCAAATTTGATGCAGAACAGCTGATTGTTCTGTAAATGTTTATTTAAAAAAACGCCTTAGCTGCATTTTTAGGTAAACAGCTGCAACAAACGTTGTTGTTTGCATAACTCAGTTACTTTTTTGAAGAAGTAACTATATAATTAATTGCCCAACATTGGTCATTATTTACTGTATTTCGCAGACAGAGAGTTACAGGACTCTCTCCCAGACCACAGACTCATAATACAAGTCAGAGCTTTATAAAAAAAAGAAAAAGAAAAAGAAAAAGAAAGTTGTGTTTTCAAAATTGGAGTTCAAGTTATTTTTACTTCCAATAGTGTTAACATACTACACAGGTCATGAACCATATTTCTTTTACATTTTCATTGTAAGTGTGCTAAAGCAGTTAATTAAAAGTAGTGTAACATAAATGTAAATGCTGTAATTTGATTATTTTAATAAACCATGTAACTTGGATGGATTCGATGCTGGCGTGACCACAGTGCACACGTCTGATGTTGCTCACAGTGCTTCAAGGGTCCGCTCAGGGAGTTTGTGTGTTCGCTCAGACACATGAAAAATTAGAGGGAACATTGGTCGTTAAAAACGGGCATGGGGTCATGCGTGAGAGATGTTCTCCAGCTTCTAATGGCAGACATGTTTTTGTCTCTGTGCTTGCACAGTGGTTTGTGTGAGGACGCCTGGCTTCCATGTGGAGACCGCTCCCTGTTCAGGGGCTGTTCATTTCTGTCTCCATTTAAAAACAGAAAAACAAATCTGTTTCGGAATCATTATTTTTACTGAGATCTCATTGTTGAGTACAGAGACACCCAGACATGCTGGCTCTTTACTTTAAGTTACAGTTACTCTTGAGTTACAGTTGCTTAATCTCAGTTACAGTTACTTACTGTGAGTTATTGTTACTCTGAGTTACAGTTACTCTGAGCTCTGATGCAGTGAAGAGTGATCACTGCGTCAGTGAGCAGCAGAGCGATGTGATTTTAATGTGTGATGTGACGTCACGTGACGGTAGTGTTTTCTTCCTTGTGTTTTTTATGTTTGCGGTGAAATAAAGTTTGGAGACAGGATGTCGTGAGTAATTTCAGTCTGAGCGCATCTCAGAGGGAGCTGATGAAGAGGAGGAGGAGCGGCTGCGGGGCGCAGGGCGGGGCGTCGGCGCGCAGCAGCAGCAGCAGCTCCATCACCGACACCGTCACCGACCTGCTGGCGTCTGCGGGCTGCGGCATGGACCCCGCTGCCCGGCCTGTCTGTGAGTGTGGGCCGGTCCGGTGCTGCTTCCCGCGGTTCTGATGGTGAAGGCGGTGCGCGCTCAGAGAAGCGGAGCGGACACAGACCTGTGCGCGTGGCGCGGCTCGCGCTCCGATGCAGCAGCGGGAGGAGGAGGAGGCGCCATTGTTTGGATGCGCAGCAGATTGAGAGGAAGAAGGCCAGGGATCGCGCGCGCTGACCGGGACACGCGCACCATGCTGCACCCGTTGTTCCTCGCGCTCCACCTGCTCTGCTTCACCCAGGTAAGGAGCCGCACTTCCGGCCGCAGCGGCTTTGTTCGACCGCAGGAACCGGGGAAGGGGAGGAGGGAGGTGTGTGTGTGTGTGTGTGTGTGTGTGTGTGTGTGTGTGTGTGTGTGTGTG